GGCGGCAGCGGCGGGGGTCCGCGGAGACGCGCTGGCCGCTTGCCCGGCGGCCGCCCACGGGGCCCGGCGCAGCACCGAGTCGGAGGTGTACGACGACGGGACCAACACCTTCTTCTGGTGAGCGACCCCCCGGGGGGGGAGGGGGGAGGTGGCTCAAGGGGTTGAGACGCTGAACTGCAGGCTCTGGAAGGTCGGTAGTTCAGCAGTTCGAGACCCGAGTGCGCAACCCTAGAGTCGGACTCGACTGGCTTTCCAGCAAGGGAGACCTTTACCTTTGTGGGCAGTGTCTGTTACCCCGCGTTCCCTGACACGGATTACGAGTGGCGTGGGAGCAGGAGACATTTAGGGCTGCAGCCTTGGGAAAGAGAGGCATGACGGACACGTGCCATCCCCCCTTTGGCTGCTTTAAACCCGAGTGGGGAAAAGACAGGTGCCTGTACTGCAATGTTCTCTCTAAGCTGTGGGGTCCTGTGAGCAAAAATTCTATTTTGCGAGCTACTGGCATTAAAGTTGTGAGCGAGCGATTTGGCTGCTGCATCAATTGGTTTGCTCTGGGGCCATCCTTCCTGAGCAAAGACAAAAATGTGTGAGCCAGACGCTAAAAAACTGTGAGTTAGCTCACACTAACTCAGCTTAGAGGGAACACTGCTGTACTGTACTGCACTCTACTTGCTTCTCTCCCCCCACCCCCCACCCCTTTTCTAGGTTTAAAATGTGATGCTGGAGGGGAATTTCTGTTTAGGGAGGCGGGGGGGGGGAATAAAAAAAGGAAGAGGTTTAAAAATAATCCTCCCCTGGAAACCCTAGAGTCGGACTCGACTGGCTTTCGAGCAAGGGAGACCTTTACCTTTGTGGGCAGTGGTCTGTTACCCCGCATTCCCTCACACGGATTTCGAGTGGCGTGGGAGCAGGAGACGTTTAGGGCCGCAGCCTTGGTAAAGAGAGGCATGACGGACACGTGCCATTCCCCCTTTGGCTGCTTTAAACCCGAGTGGGGAAAAGACAAGCGCCAGTACTGTACCGCACTGTACTTGCTTCTCTCTTCCCACCCCCAACCCCCTTTTCCAGGAGAGGAATTTCTGTTTCGGGAGGTGGGGGGGAGGAATCAAAAAAGGGAAGAGGTTTAAAAATAATCCTCCCTTGCCCCGCAGCAGCCCCCAGTCAGGAGCAGTGTTCCCTCTAAACTGAGTGAGTGTGAGCTAGTTCACATTTTTTTAGCCTCCGGCTCACCCATTTTTGTCTTGGCTCAGGAGGGAGGGCTCCAGAGCAAACTAATTTATGCAGCAGCCAAATCGCTCGCTCACAAAGGAGAATTTTTGTTCACCAGACTACAGCTTAGAGGGAGATTGAAAGGCATTTGTCAGAGCACCGAAGGAATACTGTCCTACTCTGGAGGTAGGGTTTGCTTTCCTCCAAGTGCTTAATGTTCAGGGGTTCCCCCCCCACACTCCTCTGCCTGTTACTCAGTTTGCGCCCATCGTCTGTATAAATTATTTGTGTCTTGGCATCATTGTAGGAGATAGGTGGAGCCTGTTTGCAGTTGATCATGCACAGGAAAAATGGTGGTAGGCTATTTACTAGGTGGTTATCTTCAGGAAAAAAAGGATTAATTGAGAGAGAAAGGAATGCGAATGCAATTTACACAGACACTGAAAGAACATCCCAACCCCCATGGCAGCATAGGTGATATCCACCCTTCACTACCCAAAGGTGTCTCAGAGTGGCTGACAAACTCCTTTCCCTCCCCCTCCCCACAACAGACACCCTGCGAGGTAGGTGGGGCTGAGAGAGCTCTGACAGAAACGGCTCTTTTTCAAGAACAGCTCTTATCAGAACTATGGCTTGCCCCAGAATAAAAATGCATGGAAAGTGTTACTTTTGGATTCTTGGACTGTAACTCTCTGCAAGGAATGTACAGTTTAACTAACCAAGTTTAGATCAGTCCCAAAGAAAGTGTTGGTTAAATGTATCCCTGCAGCACTTAAAAGTGATGTGGGCAAAACTGCTTCAACAGCTCTCAATAATACTTTACTCATAGTTTCCTTCAAGTGAGAGGCCACCCTTCTCTACTACCATAGTGTCTGGTATACTTGGCATTGAAAGTGTCACATCTAAGACATTTTAATACTTTGTTGTTGTTGTTTTCTGAACTTGGTGACTGGCCATGTTGGGAAATATTTCCAGTTCCTAAGAGGTGGCACTGCACAACTGAAATTGCCCTTCTGTTCGGAACAAGTTGTAAAGAAAACACAGATATAATACGGCATATTACATATATAGCTCATTTCATTCTCATCAGTGCTGTGGGGCAGAATGTTTTCTGCAAATTTTTCCGAAACAAAGATTCTCTGATGTTATATTTTTTCTTGGGAAAATTATGTAAATATAGTCCATCTCTGTGTTTAGACGTCAGGGCTGTTGTATTATAAATCAGTCATGTTAGATGGTCTAAATGTAGGATGTGAAGCACAGACATACTCCAGTGCTTGAATTTGCCTTCTTTTGCTAACATTATGTAAATATTTACTTTTGAATCAGAATTTTTTCCAGTTCAGATTTTCTTGGGAAACCCGAATCACTATTTAATGTATTTATGTATTTATATATGTATTTATATAATGTATTTATTCTGTTAGTTTCATAGGTGGCGAAACAGCAAATTGGTTGCCGTGTGCAAACTGTGTTTAAGAACACAGCTGTATTATCTAGTAAACAGTGTTCTTATCATAAACATGGTAATTTAAGCATAAGCTCAGTGTCCTTAGTTTAGTAGGGGAGAGGGAAACTTCATACAAACCTGGAAAAGAGAATAAAATGATAATTCTGGAGAATAGTTCTTCACCAGTGTTCCCTCTAAGCTGAGTTAGTGTGAGCTAGCTCACAGTTTTTTAGCCTCTGGCTCACACATTTTTGTCTTAGCTCAGGAAGGATGACTCCAGAGCAAACTAATTTATGCAGTAGCCAAATCGCTCGCTCACAACTTTAATGCCAGCAGCTCATAAAGTAGAATTTTTACTCACAAGACTCCACAGCTTAGAGGGAGCGTTGCTCTTCACCCCACAATTTTCTTTTAAAATCCACTGTATTGGGCCTCCCTTGCAGGATTCTAATAAGAAAGCAAGGTCCATCTCTCAGCTAAGGATGATCAATCCACTGGGAATGCACGTGGACTCTACCAGTGTAGATCAAAAGAGGGAGAAATCCTATCTCTGCCAGAGGAGGCAGGGGAACCGAAGGACAGGTTGGTCCAGGCCCGTAGCTAACATGGGGCCCACGGGGCCCGGCCCCCTTGTGTTTCTTCTGGGCCCCCTCCCTCCAGGGCTGCCCCCAAAGTGCTCCAACTTACCACCTGCACTGTACTTCCATTTAATTAGCTGGCGGGCCCCCCCAAGGCCCCCTCCCAAAGAATTCCCTAGCTACGGGGCTGGGTTGGTCACCTTCTCCTGTCAAACAGGAACAGACAAAAGGCCATCCCAGCTGGGAGGGGCACAGGTGATAAATTCTCTGGACACACACAGGGGAAGCATTCTCTTCCTGGGCTCTTGCTTTGCTCTAATCTCTGGACTCATGCCAGTTTGCACGATGGACTCCCTGAGACTCTGTTTTGAGCACATGTTGTTACACAATGAGAAGACCGCAAAACCACAACCTCAAGGCAATAGAACTTTCCTGAGGGCTTGTCTCAGAATTAAGTGCCTGTTCCTTTAATTACATTGGTTACATAAGAACTTAAGAGACGCCAATGTTGGATCAGGCCAAAGGCCCATCCAGTTCAACACTCTGTCATACAGTGGCCAAAAATACCAGGTGCCATCAGGAGGTCCACCCGTGGGGCCAGGGCACTAGAAGCCCTCCCCCTGTTGCCCCCCCCCCAGCACCAAGAAGACAGAGCATCACTTGCCCCAGAGTCCCTATCTATACCTTGTGGCTAATAGCCACTGATGGACCTCTGCTCCATATGCTTATCTAATTCCCTTATGAAGCCGTCCATGCTTGTAGCTGCCACCACTTCCTGTATGTAGGATGTGAGGGGTCAATTTAGTCAGTGACATGGATTATGGTTTTTCATGTTATTTTCTTTCTTTTGCTTAGTCCCGGCTGCCTTTAAGTAGTCTGGAGTGTGTGCAGGATTCTTTTATTAAACATTTAGACTTGAGCACTAGAATTCTGATTTCGGTTGTCATCCCCCCCCCCGGCATCCTACTCTCAACCATGTTGCCAAAGACAAAGTAAGGAGAGGGGTCAAGTTGCCTCCTTCATCTCTATGGGTGCGAAAGGTTGCCTGCTCCTTCTTGCGCGAGCTCAGCTGAGTGAGGCAGGTCAGCTCTGACGTAGCCATCCAGCCACAGCTCGTAATGCCTCGTCCAGATCTCCTGGGGCCGTATCTAGGTGGCCGTCTATCAGTAGATAGAGCTGGGTGTTGTCCGCATGTTGGTGACAACTCAGCCGATACCTTCAGATAATCTGGGTGAGGAGGTGCATATAGATATTAAACAGCATGGGGGGGGGAATTGCTCACTGTGGCACACCACATTCTAGCGGGTGCTGTTGGGATAACTCCCCCCCCCCAGTGCCACCATCTGGCCCTGAGCCTGGAGAAAGGAGGTCAGCCACTGCAAGGCAAGTCCCCGTATCCTGGCGTCAATGGGAGAGGGTTTTTTTCTGTGCTGCTATGCTTATCCCATCTGTTGTAGGCCTAGCAGGCAAGCAGCTCCCCTTCCCAGAGAATGTCACCATAATTAGGGATAGGCACTAACTGAACCACGAACCGATACTAATTTTCCCTGTTTGTGGTTCACAAACCAAAGTTAATGACGGGTGTATTGTCACAAATTTCCAGGAACTTTTAAAGCCATTTGTGGTGGTTTGTGGGTAGAGCAGAAAGCAGAGGTAGAGATGTGAAGGCCCAGAAAAAAAACGGAAAAATTTGGAAAAAAACCCAGGTTTTTTCCGTTTTTTTCCTGAAGCCTTTTTGTTTTTTCCGAAAAATTGGAAAAATTGAAAAAAGAAAAGAAAAGAAAAAAAATTGATTATGGAACGTTTGATTTTAACATGATGAATAAAATATTTTAAGACAAGGTGTTCAAATATTTTCCAAATCATTTCATATATATATAGGGTATCATATTGATCTAATTTCTGTGCACTGTGGACAAGCAAGTCCTAGGTTACAAACTGAACTCTCCAATGCAAGAACAAGATGAATGTCTTCCTTTAGGAGGTGCGATTGTCAGAAGAAAATAAAAAAGTTTCAGTTTTGCTTTTGCATGTGGGTGGGTATTCTGTTTGTAATAATTGTTTGGATATACTATATTTTTAATATGCTAGTTGTGATAATTTCATGCCAAGTAAAAATGTCCATAGTCATATTTTATGTTCCTAAAGTAACAGAATGACTTTCAATCTAGAAAAGACAAAAGAAATGCTAATGTAGCATTTTTTCAATTTTTCTGAAAATTTCCGTTTTCCCCCGGAAAAAACCCAGGTTTTTTTTCCGAGCTTCAAAATTTCTGGAAATTTTACATCTTTAAGCAGAGGTTTAAAGGGACTCAGCTGTTGCTCAGCTGTTTCAGGCTGCCTTGTACAGTCCCTTTATACTGACTGCAGAAGACAGACCAAGAAACAGCTGAGCAGCAGGGAGGTGTTCCCCACTGCTCAGTTGTTTTTTGAGCTTTCTGCAAACTCCGTTTAAAGGGACTGCGGTCCCTTTCATGGGGCTTGTGAACGAATCTCCAGGTTCGGTTTGGGGTTCAGCCACAAAACGTGAACCGACATAAGCTACATTTTCCCAGTTCATGACCATCCCTAACCATAATGATTAAAAAGTCTGTGGGTTTTCAAGGCTGACTCGATGGGAAAGAGGTCTGCTCTGAATTGTTAGATTTTAGCTGGTGATTTTTGTTTGCATTTCTGTGAGCCACCTTGAGCTTGGGAAGGACAATATGTAATAGTTATTTTCAACCTGGTTAAAATATTGAGCTGTCTGTTAATAGACCTAAAATATTTTGTTGACTTTCTGTTTTTCTGTCTAACAGGCAAGCACACACCTTAACAGTCCTGTTCATCCTTACCTGTACTCTGGGATATGTGACCTTACTTGAAGAAACCCCACAGGATACAGCCTACAACACCAAAAGGTAAATTTCTTAACACAGTGCAGGAAAAACTGTTTAATTAGCTATTAATATTAGTAAACATCTCTTGTCATTTTATTGTTCTTTTGCAATAATTTCCTGGTCTTATTTGTAAAAATATTACAAATCACGTAAATGGGTGGGTTAATTTTAATTACCAGGTGGGAAAGGCCAATTTAAATCAAGGTTTTCCATATATGTGGATACTTCCTAACTAAAAAGGTATATGAAATTTGCTACAAACATAAAATCAATTTAAAATTGAGGCCTGCTTATATACTCTGAGAGGGGCTAAATCTGTGCAAAAGAGTTGGGCTCCACTTGAACGAAAATGGAACCAGATTGCTGGTGGTTAATATAAAAAAATTAAAAACTGGTATAAACTTAACTTTTTCAAGTGCTGATCTCTTAAGAGTAATAAACTACTTGTTAGTAAAACTGGCCTCTCTAACAAAGTATTTGAGGGTAAAAAACATAAATGTTTATTTTTAAAAAGCAATCTGGGTGGACTGGAAAATTGCATGCCAGTTACCATAAAATTTATTATAGGCAAATAGGTGGAAATCAGTGTTTCTTCTAAGCTGAGTTATTGTGGGCTAGTTCACAGTTTTTTAGCCTCCGGCTTACACATTTTTGTCTTAGCTCAGGAAGGAGGGCTCCAGAGCAAACTGATTTCTGCCGTAGCCAGATCGCTCGCTCACAACTTTAATGCCAGTAGCTCACCAAGTAGAATTTTTGCTCACTCCACAGCTTAGAGGGAGCATTGGTGGAAATTGTTATTTAAATGTAGAATTACAGCAAAAGCTTTGTTAACTGGCATCCATAGGGGACAGTAGTTGCTGGTTAACCAAATATGCTGATTAACAAAGCTTTTACCCAGCACCAAGAGGAAAGAAGCCTCAACCTGACGAGCACCCACAGCTTGCTCCAGTGCCCCCTTCTTGGTACTGTCACCCTCTCATGACCTCCCACCATCCAAGTATCTCACAGGCGTGCCAGGAGCCCCACCCTGGCAGCAGCAAGAAAACACTATTGCTGAGTGGGTGGTGGGGTGGGCTCCTGGTATGTGGGTTACACAGTGCTAAGTAAATAGAAAAACAGGGTCTCCTGAAGAAGAATCAGCACATTAGTTGCAAAAGGAGGTCTTGTCTCACCTAACATTGTGGAGTCCAGGAGTAGTTAGTTACTTTATTTGTAGTACATTAACAAGCACATGAATAAGGGTGATTTCAGATGTTATGTATTTCCAGAAAGCTTTTGGAAATTTTTCAATAAATGTTCCGGAATAGTATGTGTTTTATGTATTAATGATTGGTTAAACAGGATGCAGAAGGGTAAAGTATATGAACAGTTTTTGCAGTGGAGGGAAGTCAGCAGTGGGGTCGTAAGGGGATGAGTAGTAAAGTGGGGTCACATTTCTGGATGATATCAAATTGTTCGTGACAGTAAAAGCTGAAGCTGATTGTGGAAAAGTTCCAAAGGATTTCTCCAAACCGGGTGAGTAGGAAACAATATGGCAAATCAATATAAGTCATGTAAAGTGATGTACAAACACCGGTAGGGCCTAAATATGTTTTAGGTGTTTTACTGTTTTATATTGGGACGTGCTGTCCTTTTTGTGAGCCGCTCTGAGCCCAGTTACGGGGAGGGCGGGGTAGAAATATAATAACAAATAAATAAAATAAACTGGCAATAAATAACCAAGAAGGAGACCTCTGAGTCAGGGATAGGTAAAGGTAAAGGTTCCCTTGCTTGAAAGCCAGTCGAATCCGACTCTAGGGTTGCGGTGCTCATCTCCGTTTCAAAGCCGAAGAGCCAGCGCTGTCCGAAGACGTTTCCGTGGTCATGTGGCCGGCATGACTAAACACCAAGGCGCACGGAACGCTGTCACCTTCCCACCGAAGCGGTACCTATTTATCTACTTGCAATTTCTTGCTTTCGAACTGCTAGGCTGGCAGGAGCTGGAACTAGAGACGGGAGCTCACTCCGTCATGCGGCAACTTGGGTCTCGAACTGCTGAACTACCGACCTTCCAGAGCCTGCAGTTCAGCGTCTTAGCCACTTGAGCCACCGCAGCTCCTGAGTCAGGGATAGTTCATCAAAAATATCTGTTCGATGGACAGCAATGATAAAAAGCCAAAATGGATGTTAGAGTGATTATTGGGGAAACGGCTGGAAATAAAGCAACTGATATTCTGATTCCGGGGGGGAGTAGCCATTTTAGCCTACTGTAGTAAAAGAAAACAGAAGACTAACAAACGTCTAGTCCACTATGAGCTTCCATGAGACAGAGCTCACATCTTCCAATACCGTGAAAGAAATGAGCCCCATAGTTTCAGTTTTACAGAAAGGGAGGACCACTTGCGTAGTTTAGCACAGCATGGGAGAGGTCAAAGGCCACATAGAGAATCTCACCTGATTTATTATATTGGGCCTCTCAGCTCCTCCCTTTCTGTCATTTTCTGTAAAATACAGGAGTGAGCTGTGTCTCACAATAGCTTATTCTGGAATAAATGTTGTTAGTTTTGAAGGTGCCACTGGACTTTTGTTTTGATATTGTAATCCCCGTGTAAATATCTGTGGTGCTACTGCATTTGGGATACTTTGTATAGTTCTTATCACCCAATCTCAAAAAGGATTTTGTAAATTATTTTTATTGGGTTTTATGCTTAATAGACACACATACATAAATCACCACAAAAATTCTTCACAATAATGTTTCACAATACACCACATTGACAATTTCGTTAAACATATTCTTATTTTAAATTCTTCCTAATATTTAACCAACTAACATTTCTTATTGCATCACTCACACTCCTCCGTATTTATTTTAGCCAATAAATCTAACCATATTTCCATAACCATTAATTTTCTTATCCATACATCTCTATCACCTTTAGTAAATTTCTTCCACTTTTAGCACCTACACTCAACTGGAATATTCACATCATTTGCCACATCTTAATTTCTATCTCGCACTCTCTCACTACTTTGAAGGTTTATGAGTAATAAATAAAATAAAAACAAAACATAAAAAAACTTTAACAATCCATAACAATTTAATCCTCCTATTGCAAAAAACAGCTAATAATAAATTTCATTTTTCCATAATTTCAATGTTCCCTTATTTTGTTATTTGGATCACCTTGTTACAATATACAACACAAAGGATTTATTTTCTCGTATAAACCCATGTACAACATATTTCTTCCTTAACTAGTGTATTCTTAGCATTTCCAACAATATAATTACTTCATTATATTATATATAATGCTTGGATATTTTCCATTTCCGGCTGTTTTTTAATACACTTTGATCAGGCTTTAAATACCAATGAGAACATAAATACAAAAGACAAAAAATTACATTTTTACACTATAGAACAATAGTACAATATTTCATACCCAAAATTTAACTACTAAGTTCATACAAAAATCCATATGTCACCAATTTCCTGTTGTTAGTTTTGAAGGTGCCACTGGACTTTTGTTTTGATATTGTAATCCCCGTGTAAATATCTGTGGTGCTACTGCATTTGGGATACTTTGTATAGTTCTGATCACCCAATCTCAAAAAGGATGTTATAGAGCTTCAAAAGGTGAAGAAAAGGGCAAGTGAACTGAGGTTTTTTGCACTTCCTCTACAGGGAATGTCTAAATCATTTGGAGCCTTTCAGTTTAGGGAAAAATAATAATTGGGTAAAGTGATAGAGATGTATAAATTTATGCATCGGGTGGAGAAAGCAGAGAACTTGTTTTTCATCTCCTAAAATACTAGAACTTTGGAACCACTCACTGATAATTATGAGTGATAGATTTAAGACGTTCAAGACAGATAAAAGAAAGTACTTCATGCAGTAGTGCACAATTCATGTGTGGGACTTGCTGCCACAGGTTGTGGAGATGCAGCTTAATTGGCTATAAAAAGGGTATTTAGACAAATTCATGGGGCATAGGGCCATCATTGGGTATTAGTCATGGTGGCCAACCTCTATAATTGAAGGCAGTATGCATTTAAATGCCAGTTGCTGTGGGCGAGGCAGCAGAAGGCCTTTCTGGCATTGCAAATAGAGTATCTCTAATGACCTGCAACAGCCACCACACGTTCTTAAAGACGTCAGTTGGAATCAGCACTAAAAAGTGCTTCTTTTCTGATCTGTCTCTTCACCTTTGGCGTTTAACTGCCCGAAGCAAGGATTGGTTTTATTTGCCGGACAGACTATAAATATTACTTTGATTGCAATGTGTCCTTTCATTCCTTCATGTTAGGATTAATAGGATTTAAGGTTACCACTCCAGAATCTCTTGAATAAACAGAATTGTCACTGTTTCTCCAGTTAAATTTACAAGTTCTCTGGGTCCTTAACCAAGTCTTGAAACTATCCTTACTGAGTGTGTTCAGAGGACTGATCTAATTTTGCTAGTGGGCTTGTTAATGTTTTATTAAGTTTCAGTTTAGTTTATTGTAATTAGCTATTGTCCGTTACAAAATTACAAAACACAAATTGTGAACTAGCTATAGGATGTTTTATTTAACTTTCAACATGTTTTAGTTGCATCTTTTTATGATGTAAACTTCTGGATTTTGACATGTGTGCATCTAATTATTGTATTTTACTGAATGTCTGTATTAGGCCTAACCTAAGTATGGCCCCGGTCACACGAGCAGGAAACCGCGGGGGGGAAGCGTGGCAGTGTGCCCCGGGGCAAACTAAGGCGCCATTACCTGACCAGACCTACCGTGGAGGTACCGTGGAGGTACCGTGGGAAGGGAGAGGTGCCGATCGCAGCACAATCCCGCGCGCAAAAACGAAGCGCGCGGTTCGGCAAACTGGATAGTTTTTTTTTTCTGTACAGCACGACTGCGCATGCTCCGTAGGGTGCTTTTGCGCATCCACAAAGACCTGGGGGGAAAAACGTTTTCGCAAGGACGGGAACATGGGCGGGCGCCGGATGCCACCGGAAACGCGATCAGACGCTCGCCCTTGCCCCGCGGTTTCC